AAAAAAAGCTAAAATGCATGCCAAATAAAAGCTCGGGTCTCAGGAGGTTAATAAGAGAACAGAATGTAGGATAATAAAGAAAGTCAGCCGGGAAAAGGAAAAGCATGGGAAGACCCTTTAAAATGTTGGCCCTGTATGTGAGTTTTCTCTAACATCAAAATTCAGGGGTTGTTTTTGCTGTTCTGTCACAGGTTCAAGCTGAAAGCTCTATCAGCTCAGTGCAGACTTCTGCACAGGCACACTCACACCTTTGCCGGCTTTCACATAACGTTAACGTATCATTGAAGTGTGTCAGAGGTGGCATGGTGGTGTGCTGGTTAGCACAGTTGCCTCATAGACAGAGGGTTTCTGGTTAGATTTTTACGGGGAATTGGGGACTTTTCTCTGCAGAATTTTCATTTTACCCCTGCGGGATTCCTGTAAACATTCCTGTATCCTCCGACTACCCAAATATATGCATGTTAAGTTAATTGAAGCCTCTAAATTGTCCCCAGAAGTGAATGTGAGTGTGTATGGTTGTTTGTTTATACAATAGACTAGTGATCTGTTCAGGTTGAACTCCACCTCCATCCCACCCGAGACCCTACTAGGAATGAGGGGTATCGGTAATGGATGGATGACGTATTTTAAACACTATTCACATGCTACACATCTAAAGTAGTTTTACAAAGCATATTAAATTAACACATATTGCAAATTTTTACACCTTTAGGTGCTTCCTTAAACCAATCAAGTCCTGAATAAAAAAGCCTGCTCTGGGCTTGAAGTTTCAGCATATGTAGCCTAGTTTACATTTGTTTAAATCAAACTTCAAGGTTGATAGGGCACAGTGAATAACTGCATGTTATGGCATCCAAACATAGGTTTGATAAGTCTTAGCATTTTAATAAGCACAATTAATCTGTTATCTAAATTGCTACATTAGTCTGCCGCAATTAATACTTAATTATTTTACTGCAAGTGTTTGAATAAAATATAGGCCATTAATATGCCATTCATTCAGTCACAAATGTTTTTTAGATAATGAAAAAAACGTATTAATCAAGACAGTTCACTGTGAAAGCGCTTATACTAAAAAGTGTCTCATCCTTTGATATATGTGTCTCTAACTAACCTTTGCCAGCACATACCTGGAAATAAATAAATACTACAGCGCAAATTTTTGGTTTCTTGCCTCAAACGTTTTGCGTTTCATGACATCGAATCCATATAGGGATGATTGTAAATGTGCATGGCTTATCCAAGGAGTTGTTTGGGCTATGTGTGAATTACGGCACCCACAGAATAAAACATTATCTCCCATCCTTAAGCAACTGACTGGCTAAATCACGTTCCTCCATATCTCTTCCATCAGATCTCAGCAGGGTCTATCTTTGATGATGCCGAGTAATGCTGAGTAATATGATGCTGTATTCTATAAAAGGGGTTGCAGAATAAATGCTGCCCCTTCCTCATTTACCAAGATGCCCAGATCAATGGCAGCTAATGAGAGTTGAAGATGAGGATTGGTCAATGCTTGCAGACACTTTGACGACTCCATGTCACCTCAGTACTGAAAAACTTTATACTTACATAACATACTTTTTTTTTAAACTCCTTTGAAATTGGGAAATTCACAATTCTCTATGATGACTAGGCTGTCACTAGGAGCATACTCCAACTTAAAAAAGAGTCATACCTATTTCAAATTTACATTGCATCTTTAGCCATCTGTCCTTCCAGTGAAAATAATGTGCAAGGTGATAACAGGATCATATCAACAGAATCGTTGTACCCTTGTTTGGCCTCTGCAGAATTACCTCCATGAAACACACCCTGAGTCTGTGTGTGTGTGTGTGTGTGTGTGTGTGTTTATTGGTCATTACATTAAATGGATTGCAACACATTCCTGAAAGCATTTTCCTCTTAAAAGTCCAGGAGTTCTCCTTGTTTTATGGTTTGATGTGAGTGGTTTGATGAGCATATTTTTGCCATTCTGAGCAAGACTTGTGCTATTAAACACTGTAAGAAATGGGCTGGAAAGGGGAATGTAGTACTTAATGCTTGTGTGATTTTTTTTTTAGCATTTAGCATTCAATGAGTCCCTGGTGTTTTACCAGCAGTATTCAGCTGTCTGAGCTTTCTATATTTGAAGAATCAAGCTACTTACAACAGAAAGTGTGATAAACCGTCTAAACTAACAATGGGAAAAGCTTTAGGGTAAAACTCTTTCATTAGAAAGCATTTCAGAAGTTGCTATTTTGACAAAAAAGAGCAGTTTTGTGCAGGTAGGGCTCAATTGTCAATTACTCTGTGCAAAGGTTGCATGTGTTCTTCTTCTGTTAAGCAAATATGACATTTAGGTAGATAACCATTAAAATGCAAGCACGGGTTATGTCCAAGCACCAATCATTCACTTAAACTGCAAACTTACATAACTTTTTGTCAATATTTCCTCTTTTCTTGGCTGTATGAAATATAAAGACAACTATATATATGGATCTGCAATAAAGCAATTACTTTAATCTCTATAAATTGATAACAAATTAGTTGTTTTAAATCTTTAAAGTTCGTCTAAGGAGCGAGTGAGCATATATAACTCTTTTGTTTAACGCCGGTCTTCTTTTGGATCGGCCTGTGCATTAATAGTTGCTCATACAATCACCACAGAGTCGACTGTATAACTAGTTTTGATTAGAGCAGCGGGTCAGGTATTGAGGTGCTTTACACATAAATGGTTTGATAAGAGTTTAAAACCCGGTCCAGCATCTTTCTCACTTTGAGCAGGGAGATTAGTTCACAGCCCTGATGGGTGTAACAGACAGATTTTCTTAGTACAAAGTGCTGTTTTAAATGTTAGCAAAGCAGTCTCTTTATTATTTTCTGTTTTCTTCTTTATGTTTTGGTTTTTGTTTCAGGGTGCTCCAGGTCTTCTTGGTATTTTCATCCATATATTTCCAGGATGGTCTCATCAATGGAAGATGGCCAGTTATTATGCCAGGCTTGAATGTTTTTGGGCACTATCAGTGCTTTGTTTTCTGATGTCCCTGTCGCTTCTGCTTTGGAAGAAAAAGTTTAATAAAAAAAGTTTAGTCCTTTGCTCCTTTGCATATTTTGCTCTTCAATCATCTCCAGAGATTTTTTGTCATGTTACATGTAGTCAGTAAGAAAAGAAAATGTAAATTATGATTATTAAATGAGAAAAAATAAAATGTGTTCAATAAAGGTGTTTTTTAAAGAAATAGTGCATGTATATCAATTCCATGAGTAAGTGTAGTCACACAAAAAGAGGACAAACTTTTTCTTTTTTTAGGAAGAGATGCTTAAAGCTTTACATAAGGTTAGGCATCTCCATAGTCCCACCCATTGTGCACTTGCTAGAATAAAATAAATATTCCCAGTCTGACTGTCTGTGCTCATCACATCACAGAAAGACAAGTCTAAGATTGAAGGCTCAAGTGTGGATGTCCTGAGGAGAAGGCACCCAGTGATCCTTTAGATCACCTTGAGAAAAGTCATGGTGAATTTGTTTGAATTTTTCAAAATCAACCTGAGTGCAAGTGGACTTAGTTCTAGGCATGTATGACATTTGAAAGTAATAGATTTTATGACATAGTAGATAGATTACACCAGAATAAATCTGCTCCAGAACTAAACGACAAAATAAAAAACAAAGTGAGACAAGAACTATCAAATGCATTTTTTTCTTTAATACAAAGTATAGAAATAGCTGCGTTTCTGTTATTGTAATAAATTGATGTATTTGAAAGTAATAATTTTATATTTATAGAAATAGTGTCGCAGAAAGTTCTGCCTGCATGACAAAATCCTAACAAATATTTAATTCAGTGCATGTTCAACGCATAATAAATTGTAAATATCAGGATGAGAAATGACTGGCTTCCACAAATAAAGTAGCTCAGAAATTCGCTGTTGGGACTGCATTAAAGCAGTGTTTTACAGTAGGTCGGCTGCATTACTTTTGAAAAAATTCATGTCAGAAAGGAAAAATGTTAATGTTAGCTGTGGAGCATGCAGAGTCGGCCCCCCATTACTCTTTGGTGGATACAGTAAGGGGGGTCCTGTGGTGTGGCAGAGGAAGCAGTGACCTTTCTGGGAAACCTGGCCACTAAATCAGTGTCTGAGCGCCAACGTTTTTCTATGTAGGCTAAGATAGAGCTGACAGCTCTATCTGGGGATCTGCCTCAATGACTCCCAAGACCCATCTCATTAATTGTAGGGACCAGATGCAGCGGCAGTCACCTTTGGTTAGAATAATCTAGATTTTCAGTTTAAAAAAAAGAAAGAGCTGACCAGACAGAGAGACAGGCAGAATGGCCTCGCTCAGAAAAGTTGTGTGAGCAGCTTCAGTTTTGGAAAATGTATCACTTGCTAAGAGGTATTCCCCACAAATGCAATTCTTAATTATCTGAGCTTTAAAGTCCTTCTATACATGGGAGATCTCTGTGGTAATCAACTCACCTTTAACCCTGTAATGCCAAATGTATCATATTTGATATATACGGTTTCTGAAATGTTTTGCGTCCGACACCTTTTTTTAATTTAATGGTAAAAACTTTGCTCAAAATCCTATTGTACACAATCAGATACACCTGATAACAGGGGGAAGAAGACGACACAAAAAATAATCTTGACTTATCCCATAGTTATAATATTATTAATATTAAAAATGTATTTTGTTTTTCAAAATATAGACTTAAAACCAAAAAAATTAAGTTTCTGTTTTGTTTTATTCTTGGATCAGGCTTTAAAGGGTTACTTAGATGTCCGAAGAACATGGTTAAAGCACTGGGGTGACCGGGCCTTTTCCATGGTAGGACCCCGACTTTGGAACGACCAAAATGGGATTTTTGGCTGAATTTGTTGCTATGATGAAGCCGTTCGACATGGCCCTCAACGTTCTACTAGGTAAATCATCTTCGCATATGGGCTTTCTCCTGCCAACGCTGTACCGGTTGCAAGACAAGCAGAAAAAGGTGATGTCATCCTGTTTGTGTTCCTCTCATCGATGCTCTGCTGAATGGTATCAATAAACGTTTTTGAGATGATCAAAGAACCTGAGCTCATTGCTGCTGCTGTTCTCCTAAGTTCAAAACAGGCGAGAAAATTTTAAAAGCTGATAAATATAGAAATATCAGTGTGTGTTAATCGCTCACAAGAGTATATACATGTACTAAAATACATATATTTTTTTCATCAAGGATCACTTGCACCCAAAGACAATGGCAAAAACAGTAGCCACTGATAAAGATGATCTGATCTTTGGATTCATTTAGTCCAGAAACTCCCAAACAGGAGAGTTGAAGAGGTACCCTACATGTCCGTCCACTGCCACTGCAGGTATGGCGCTTTTGCACTATTTTCGTAAAAACAAGCGGCTGTCACTCAAAGTCAACAGAAGTAGTCCAACATTTGCAGCTTGTGAGAGACGTTTAAGTCATTAGGGACTCCTCCAAACTGCTAAAAGATCCCAGCATCAGAGTCAACTCCTCTTGAAGCTAAACAGTCACTTTACTGGGTAATATTTTGAAAACCAACTCATATTTAGTTTTGTTGCCACTCACATTTAGTTTATTATGTCATTGGTTGTTCTGCTGATCTAGATTTAGGAATTTACATGCTTGATGTGAAGAATGGCTTCTGTTAATTGCTATTAGTAGCCGCAATCAGTTGGTGCTGTTTAAGTTTTGTGAAAAGATAAGTGACTTATTCCCAGTTTCCTTCGACTAATATGTCTTTCCGCCTGTTTTATTTACAACAAGGTATATTCAGTCTCAATTGAAGTTTTATTGTTTTCTTGTAGGTAAATTTGGATGATGTAATTTAGTGTTACACAATTCTTGTCACTCTTTACTCAAGTAAAATATAATCCAAGTACTTTTTTACTTCTACTGATAGAATTTTTGGACGCTTACTCTTTATTTTACTTGAGTAATATTGCTTTGGAGTTTGTCTTGAATACCCTATCCACTTTTGTGACATCCACTATCTGTTAAATTGGTGACTGGGGGAAGAAGGTCACAGATATAAATATGGCGGCCATCAGTTGTCAATTCAATTAGGCACTTTGACAGAACCTGTCTCCTCTGGTCATAAAAAATCACCAATCCCCCAACATGTAGGAGTCCTTCACGTCCCTCTGTGCTTCCCCTGAAAGAATACTTCCAAAGGCAGATGTCCAACTGTGTCATTCAAGTCCTTTAACCCTCTTTGAGGAAGTTACGTGCTCAGTCTCCTCACATGCAACATATTTGTGGGGGACTTTTAATATACTTGTAATCCTCTGCAACCTTTCCCTTGCATTTCATGGCATCCCCAGTTAGGGATCAGAAGTTCAAATCTCACTCCTGACACTCTTTTTTTGGTAATTTGACTACATTTTTAAAATTTTGTCAGGTAGGTAATCTCAAGTCATGGTTGAAATAAACATTTGCATCTGAATAAGGGAATGTCTTTCTCCCAAAGAATGCTACAATGCAAATCTGAGCATTGCAGGTTTTTACCACATTGTATTCCATTGTATTCCTCTGCCATTGGAGATCACTGACACGTAGCTTTGATTTTCATCTTATTTTTGGCTTTGAAAGAAGCCTTTGATGGGGCGTGCTTTGCCAAGCAAGCTCAGTTCAGTGTTAGCACATTAAATGAGCACAATCCTCATTAAATGCATCATTTGAATCACACGGTGTCTGAAACATAAACCAGCGCTTCTCAAACTTTGTCTCTTGTGCCTCCCAAGATTTGTATTTATGTATTATCATTGATACGTTTTAGGAAATAGCACAATTTTAGACTATTTTTCTTATAATAACTATTACAAATAAATAAACAAAAGCATTCAGTTGCACATTTTATCATGTTTTCTATGTTTTCTATAATAGAATAGGTCTGGCTGGCTGACATGCTGATGTATGTGGGGTTTGATTTTAATTTGTTGGTTTCATAGAGTCAGTGCAAGAGTTTTAAGACATGATACAGACAGGTCTCTTGTCGTTAGCAATGAAACTCAGAGCTGGATACACCTCATCATATTTCTTCATCTCATGTTTTTGGCATCTGCTTATGGTCCTCATCAATCTTTGTTTTACTTGAATTATTGTTTTGTTTAATAAAATTCCCTCATTCGACATTTTAATTTTGTGCGACATGTGGCACGGTGGTGGTGGTTAGCAACTTTGGCTCACACCGAGAGGGTTCCTGGTTTGAATCCTGAGGGCTGGGCCCTTTCTGTGTAGAGTTAGTTGTGTCTGTGTGTGTTTCTGCAGCCTCCCAACATCCCAAAAAATATGCATGCTAAGTTGATTGAAATCTCTAAATTGGCCAAATTTGTACATTGGACCTCAAGATCTCATGCATCAGTTGGTTTTTCTAATACAGGGCTAGTTGTTCAGTCCTTCCTGCAGTATCATCGCATCTTCATATTGAAGTTGACCATGAGCCGAAACACCACAGTCATAAATTGAGAAAGCATTGCTCTTCGACACAGAGAGGAAAGAGGGCTAGCAACGCTTTAGCAACAAGCATTGCTGGGAAACGCTTCATGATCTCACATATTAAACCCCACAGTATTCCAACACCAGATACACCTCCAACAAACATTTCTATCAATTATGAATATTTTACATCATTTTTAATATAACTTAACTTAGCATGCGTGTATGCTTTTTTAATGTGCCAATTTAGTAGATTATGTCACAGCGGTGTAGTCTGGTTGGGGTTTTTTGTCCTGTCTCCATGAGGTCTTGTCATTTCCAGTTTTATTTAGATAAGTAACCCTCTTGTTTCAGGTCACTTGCACTTCCCTGTGTGTCATCTGTCCACTTGTCTTCCTGGTTACCAATTGTGTTCACCTGGAGTTCCCTTCCCCTCATGTCTTAAATAGTCTGCGTTTTCCCTTGTCTGAGCTAAACCAAGTCATACTAAATACTTGCTTTTCACCTTGAACACTGTTTTCTCCTCGTAAGAGCGATTTTGATTTTGTACTTCCTAGTTTTTGTTCTCAACTCCCTATGGGTATTATTTTGATACTTTGTTTATGATCTTTTGCTTGCCTCGTTTTGAGTGCTCCTGATTTGTTACTTTTCTCACCGACCTCGTTGAGTGATATTTATTTTGTACTTTGCATTTCCACTCTTTGCGAAGGTGCTTTGATTTATAATAAAACCATTTGTACCTGTACCTCTGCATCTGAGTCCTGCCTCAGTACCAGCTTGTCAGATTGGAAGCTGTTAAATATAATACTCTAAAAGTTTCAGTGGCTTTGCAAAAACTTTAATTGGAAATTTGTTAGGAAAACCATGGAACCAAATAATCCAAATATAAGAAAGTGGGAGTCAACAATCATTAATGACAACATACAACCCTCTCTTTTTTTTCTTTTTGATATTTTTTCTGTTAATCCCATCTTTGCAAATTGTTAACACTTTAGAAGAATATTAAATGTATTACAGTGTCAATAAATGTCTAGATGTTCCATTTAGAGTTTGCTGAAATGATAAAAATCTATATAAATAGCTTTTCAAGATTAGTTTTAGTTTAGCATTGGTAAAGGAAATGACTTTAACCTCAGAGAATGGAGAGTTGAGTCTTACTGATGTGTTGATGACTAATTTGGAAGAAGAGTAAATTATTCATTCTCTTATGCACTGCATATTTGTATATTCAGTCATTTTCCCTGTTCCAACTGTGCAATCAGAAGTGAAATACTGACACAAGTGTTCATTCTTCTGTGAAAAGTACAGTCTGTGCCATAATGTGATTAGCACTCTGTCAAAGACCAAGGAAACCCAGAAACACACGCACCCACACATCCAAAAAAACAATACACTCTGTGACTTTTCTGTCAGTTATTACACTAACAACATTATTAGCACAGTTCTGTTGAAGAAGAATGCAAATTACACCAAATCTCCCTTTCTTCCAATTATCAAAAGCCTTTAGTTGGCCTAGCACTGTATAAGTATTTTTTGTAATTTATTCGAACTGCCTTTCAAAGCATACAGTAATAAACCTCAGTTCTGGAATCAGCAATCTTATAAAAAGAGACAGGTTTGAAGCTGAGATTATATGTCATTCTTGAAGCCCTATGATAATATTAAATAATAGCAGGGAGGTAAAGGGAAAGGAAACAGTCTGATGTGAAAGAATCGGGACAAAGGATTTGACATCCTCTTGCTATCTTGTAAAATTGCATGGAAGAGATAAGGCAACAATCATAGTACAAAAGAAAAGAAGAGAGCTTGACAGTATAATGGCTATTCTATGCTTCCATGTGCTGTGCATCAGTGCAGTGAGCAGAGATGGAGACAACAAAGCAGCGTCACTGAGCAGGCTTCAGTTATGCCTTACAGTGTGTTCAATAACAAGACTTGTCACTAAAAAGGAGAACTGTGTACTTGAACATTTTTCAAGCACACATAAAAAAGTGTGGTAACAGACCAAATTAAACATTACAAAGAAATGGCCGTCACCTATTTTTGCACACACTTATGCAGGCACAAAAACTTTTCAAGGGAGGACACAAACATTTTACTCAGAACTTTTTTTTAAAACTTTCGTTCACTTTCAGTGCAAGAACAGGGTGAATTGTTGAAACCAGTACATGCTAGGAACCAACAACTGGAGCAATTAAACATACCCTGTTCCTGGAAAAGTATAATAAAAATGTGGCACCCCCTGGAGAAACAACTTAAGTTGGGTGTCGCACCTCTGGAGATTTATTCTAGGGCTTTTGGGGAAAAAAATCAACAGTGTAGGTATAAATTAGTATGAAACATGCTGGAAAATAGACATCATCAACCCCCAGGAGCAGGATATGATGCACTGATTGATCGTTGGCAGTTGATTATCTGAGAAGAAACATTTTCACCCCGCTAATTATGAAAGGAAGGAGCAAAAGGTGAATAATCGCACTCCTTTTAGAAATTTGTACACACAAAAGATGTTCATAATAATTTCAACATTTTTTGAAAAAGTTCCCATTCTCACTGACCATAAAAAAATACATCATCACAAACTTTTCTGTGGTCATAAGATTGATTGAATTTATTTTGTCTCAGTTTATGTTGTGCTTATAAAAGTAATATGAACCATGTGTTAAGACTCTTAGCTTCATGTATTCAAAAGAACAAAGGGAGGAAAATTTATGCAGGTCTAAAGCAAAGAGAGCGGCCTTTACATTGTTCAGGAAGGGGAGAAAATTAAAAGACAATAAGGAGTCAGGGCAACTTAAAGAATGCTTGTGATTGGGAGATGCCAGTAGATTTAGGAGAAAAGCTTGTGACAGACATTTGAGGACCTTTGGTTTTATTTTTGCATGCCCATTGAAATGAGGGTCCAAGATCCATTCAGCCCTTGTCTATACTGTTCATTCCTAGTGGGTACATCCAAGACAAGCACACCCCAGAGCCCTGATGTCTACAAGACCACACAGAAAC